TTTTATTATAACATTCTTGGATATTAACACAGGTTTGCCCAGAGCACTGATTCTCTGTGAGAACAGCAAGTCAAGACCTGTGCAGTCTGGTATTTCCCTTTTCTACAAGTCATACATGGGAAGAATTTGTAACTTGAAAGTAATTCTGTCGACTTCAAAGAATTCCAGGTTGAGTAGGACACTGTCGCTGTTGTCCAAAAAGCTCATAAGAACAACTCAACATCTTCACATAGTAACTGAATGTTATTATAAAGGGGGTCTGTCCAGGGATTTTAAAGTAATAAAGGAAAATACTTTTCAATTTTCTTCAAATAATTTCCATGAAGAAAACTGTCATAAGTGTAATCTTCTTTAATTAATCATCCATAAAGGAAATGATTAAAAGCACAGTCCCTCCAAAATTTAGTATATAAAAGAAAACTCTAATTGACAAAAAACATATCCATTAGTGTGAAAAAGGATTGGACAATACAAGCTACATAAGATACTGCTCCTCCTTGTGAAAGACAATTTGGGAAATATTTCTCTCTTACACTAGCCAATACTCAACCCAGAGTACACAGGCGAGGTCAGAGGGGACATTTCAATAAGAAGCATAAAATGAGGCACCAGATTCATTATGGATTCTGATTGTTTAGAATTATAAAATTTAAGGACTAAAATGATAGAGGAGAGAGAAATGAAGGGAGGATACAAAAAAAAAAAAAAGCAGGTACCTTGAGTTTCTTGGTTCCATCCTTTCCTACTTCTTCCAGAGAACCTAATTCTACCAATTAATATATAAATACGCTCTAGTACCTCTCATGCATGAAAACGGAAACCTCCATTATGCTTTACATGCCTTCCAAACCATTACCCTATTTCTTTTATCTTTACCACAGATCTTTTAAAAGTTGTCTCCTCTCTTTGCATCTTCCCTTGTATTCCACAAACTGGAATATTGTCTCTATCTATACCGCTCTTCTCAAATTGCTGTCATGTGGACCACAGACAATCTCTACTCTGCCACATCAGTGGACACATGTTTCAATCTTCCTTTTGTTTGATCTTTTTGTGACATTTGGAGATTCTGACTACTTAACCTATTTTGAAATTCTATCCTGGGACACTGACTTCTGCCTCTCCTAGTCTGCTGTCCGCTATTTGTCAGTTTGTTGGTGGGCACCCATTTCTCCAACTACCCCTAATGTTTGTGTCTCATGGTCCCTCCTGGCATTAGCTCTTTCTCTCATCTCCTCTAAGTTGGATGATTTCATTCATTTTCATAGCTCCATACACATTTTTGGCAGGGTTCCTAATATTCTGATTCAGCCTTATAAGAAAAATTTTTCTTTTGACTCTTCTAATGCTTCAAACTGACAGTTTCATCCTATCCTTTGGCTGCATCCCATGAAATTAAGTATGTTTTATTGTTAAACTCTAGTCAGTCATCCAGAAGCAAATAGTTCATATAATGATTAAATACAGTTTTAGAAAACAATAGAATTTCCAAATCCCTTTATGAAACTAAGAAAATCTGACAAAATAGCCCAAGCCTAGTTAAATATAATATAAAGAACAGACCTATACCACTTACAAATAAAATTGCAAAAGGCTGTTAAATATCAGCAACTTGAATTTAGCATTATGGTAAATTTATAGTTTCTTTAAAAATACAATAAGAAAAAACATGACCTTGTAAATAGATTCTCAGCAGTCATTTGATAAAATTTAAAATCCATTCTCAAGCTCAGGCTTGAAAATCAAACAGATATGATTTAGAATTATACGTTATCCACTTATAGCTGTTTTTTCCACTAGACAGGTATATTAACCTTTTTTGGGTCCTAGTTTTATTAACTTTTAAAATGGGTCTAGATTGCCTTAAACCCTTGTTTGAAATACATCTCATCCTTTCCTTTTCATAATATTCTTTATCTTTAAAGTCACACATTTAACATATGTTTTCCCCACCAGACTGAAACCACCTTGAAGATACGCATGTATGTGTGTGCATGATCATTTACAGAATTTGCAGGGCCCAGTGCAAAGTGCAAATGAAAGTCCCCTTGTCCAAAAATAATTAAGAATTCCAAGACAGTGATCAGCAGAGTATTAAACCAAGCAAGGAGCCCTTCCACGCACAGGCTGCTGTGTGACTGCATAGAACACGTGGAGGCTTTATGTGTATGTGGTATGTCTGTGTGTGTGTCTATGTTTGAAATACGTTGAGTATTATGCCTGGAAAATTAAGCCATAAAATTAAACCATAGGAACCTCAAAAAATACCCATAGACAGAAAGATAGCTAACATTCAGATCTCAGACTATAAACAATAGTCATATTAGGTTGAGCAAAAATAGTTCAGATAATTAATCAAGAAAATATTTTCAGGTTTACCACTGATTGACTAATTTGACTGAAGATTGAAAAAAATTAAAAAAACATTGATGAATCTTTAACAATTCTCCCTTTAAGTAGACATTTATATCATTTTATTTCAATGTTTTCTATTACATTGTATAAATCATTCTGAGATGATGTCTTCCCTCCTAATATGTATTGGTTGTAAGTCACAAGTATGTACTGTTTTGTTTCTGTGTTGACTTTCCTGCACAATTCATTGAGTCTATGAGTGAACATTATAATAACCACTCCATTTCTCTAAGCATAAAGCATTAGCATATAAAAATTCATAGAATGTTTAATCCTAGTCCATCTGTCTTTTTTAAAAAAGATTTTATTTATTTATTTGAGAGAGAGAGAGAGTGTGAGCAAGGGAGAACAGGAGCAGGGGAGAGGGGCAGAGGGAGAAGCAGACTCCCCAGCTGAACAGGAAGCCTGATGTGGGACTCGAACCCAGGACCCTGAGATCATGACCTGAGTCAAAGGCGGATGCCCAACTGACTGAGCCACCCAGGTGTCCCTGATCCTTGTCCATCTGTCTTATAAAAAATAATGTTTAGCTTATCAAAAATATCAACCACTAATTTAAGACTTCATTTTGGAATTCTTTCAAAATGCTGTTAATCCTCTCATACACAGAAAAATAACATTTGGGGTCAGAGTTTAGGATAGAATTTACATGTCCTCTCCTGGAGCTCTGAATAATTTCCTTTCATGATTTCCAAAAGTTTACTTATGCATAAGCCCTTATTCTGCCGGGTTTTATGGTGACTTCATGAAAAAGGAAGACAGATTTCCTCTTGAGGAAGTTATTGATGGATGCTCTTTTATCTGTCCCTGAAAAGTATTTAAAAAAAAAAAAAGTGCAGGCTGTGTGCAATTACATACCTCAACGCTGCTGTCAGGGATTTTAAACTAATAAATAACCAATCTAGCTGTGTTTAGTTATAGAATTCATTTTTAAAAGTCACTCCTGTTTTTCCACTCCCCACCTTCCACTCTAGGATCCAGTCAAATGGAAATACCTGACTTTTCCCACCCCATTCTGTCTCCTGTTCTCATTTGCTTCCCTCCTTCTCCTCCTCTTTCCTTCTATTTCCCTTCTGCCTTTACATATTTTCTCTTCATGCATGTTCTCATTCATGCATTCTCATACAGTTGTTCTCTCTCATTCTGTCACTCAACAATACTTTCTGAATACCTGTGTACTGGATACTATTCTAAGTGGACAGAGGCTTGGCTGAGCACAGGGAAGAACACAGCAGGAGCGGAGTGAGTCGTGTACCAGAGGGGGTCAGAGAAGACAGTAACTCCCAGATCACACAGGACAACCTCAAAGGCTTGGTGCACAGTGGCAAGTGGCCAGAGGGTGGTCACAGAAGATGGCATTGCATACATCAAATATCTTGCGGCTATGAGGAGAGTGAAGGGGTCCTAAGCAAGAGTGAAAGCTGGAAGATCCCCCAGACAGCAGGGTTTTAATGGTTTGCCCATGTGCAATTCACAGAGTGGACAGATTGGATTCAGGATTTATTTTAGAGGTAGAGTTGACAAGACTTGCCTATGGATAGGATGTAAGAAGTGAGACTAAAAGAGGAAATGGAGATCGAAGCTTCAGGCTTGAGCAACTCTGTCTCACTCTCATTGTTACTCTCTTCTTTCTCCCTTCTTTCTTTTCCTCTTTTCTTTGTTCACACTATAACTGAATATGGAATGTTCACATCCCTAGGTTAGTTCCCGCCTGAGTCTCAATTCAGAACTCAGAAACCCCAAAAAGCTTTCCTGAGGTCCCCCACAGTGGGGCAAAGACATACCCACATGATACCTGACCCTGTCTCTCTCCGGGCATCAATTTCCACATTGTTCACAAGGACGGCTAACACAGAGGCTGCAAGCATGAACTCTAGAGCCAGAATACAGGAGGTTTGTGTCCAAGCTCTGTTACTAACCAGCTAAGTGAACTCTGGGAAGTTACTTAAGGAAGTCTCAGTTCCCACATCTGTGAAGTGCGGATAAGGAAAGTGTCTACTCATAGAAAATTTTGCATGAGAGGAGATATATATATATATATATATATATATATATATATATATAATGCTTAACACAATATTAGTACAGAGCAAATGCTAGATAAATGATAGCTGTTATCATCATCACCCTTACTACTTTACCCACCTTCTTTTAAGCAGGGTTCCTGCAGAATATCAGAAAACAAATTCAAACAGGAAATACTAAAATAATTCAGGCTTAGAAAAAAAATTAGCTCCTCAGTAAAACAGAGTAAAAATGGTTAGTATGACTTATTGGTCAATTCAGATAAATGCATAGGTGGGAGTCATAGTTATCAACTATTATCGTCAGTCTCCATTTTCTCAACCTAATCTGGGTTTTGTGTTTCGGGTCCAAACATACCACTTACCAGATTAGATGCACCCACAGGATTATTTTTCTTTGAGGTCTCACCTGGGCAGGTGCATCTACAAAACACAGGGCAGAAAGAGACTGATGACAGAGGTTGAGGGGCGGAGGGCGTGACCCTTTTAATCTTTCTTTACTTCCTTTTTCTTTTTTTTCGAGACGACTCGGCATCGTCCACTACATCCGTGGCAAGACCTGCGACGCCTCCTTGGTGGCGTAGGCTTGCAATTGCCCGCTTTCGCCCTACACGTTTGTGGCTTCCACAGATTAGCAACCAATACATTTAGATCGCAGTCGCCTAGCTTTGCCAAGACGGTTAGAGGTCATTTGGAAAGTCTTTTGCCTCGAATTGTTCTCATTCCGAAGGCCAGCTCATTCCTCCTGTGGGTGGTGCTTCGGAGATTCGCGCCCTCCTCTGGTCCCGGTTCAGGTGCACAAGAAGAGCTAGGGGAGGACGCAGGTGCTCAAGAGAGGTGGGGCGGTGCAGGCACCTCGGTGGTGAACCCAAAGATCAAACCTGCAGACCCGGCGCAAAGTAGAAACTGAAAGTACACTGCCGGCTGATCCTACGGAAGTTATGGGAAAGGCAAAGCGCAGAGCCGGGCCGTGGTGTGTGCCGCCCCCCTTGGGATGGATGAAGCAGCAGGCGCGGCGTGGGTGAGAGGAACCAGCGGCAGAGGCCGCCCTACCCGGCACGGACTCCCGGCAACTCCGCGGAAGACCAGGGCTCTGGCAGCGACTATGGGCGGTGAGAGCCTGCTCCTGCTGCAGTTGCGGTCATCATGACCACGCCCGCCTCCCGCAGACCATGTTCCATGGTAAGCGCTCCTCTCCCAGGCGCACCAGTCCGCGCGCCCGGCACGCCGGGGGAACTCCAGGACGCGTCGCCGGGCCCCGCGCCCAGGCGCGTCCGGGAACAGCCCAGCCTTGTACTTTGGACCTGCCGAGAGCACTGGCTCTCCCACCGGCAGGCGTCAGCCGCGCTGCGGCACCCTGGCCCACAGCCGCCACTTGCAGTCGGGACTGCTGCGCCTAGCCCGCGGCGAGAAGCCGTCCCCGACGCCGCCTTCGCGTCCCGAGACGCGGCGCTGCGGCGTCCGCGCTGCTCAGCGGTGGCAGCCCGCAACCAGGTCGCAGAGGTGGCCAGTGGCTCGCCGTCGGTCTCCCCGAGCCAGCGCTGCCCTCTGTCAACCCGGCGCCCTGGCCGCCGTACCCGTGCTCCTGGCGGCGCCCAGTTACTCACTGATGCCCGGGTAGGGGCCAGTTACCTGAGCTCGTGCGGTTCCCTACTCTCTAGAGAAGCGAAAGCGAAGCTCCCACGGGACGCGCTTTTAAACCCTAGGGGGACAGGTCTCTGGAAAGCCCCGTTTTGCCCCCTCAGCGAGGCTGGGGGTTTCCGACTGGGGCAGTACCTCGTGCCCTTTGCCGGGAACCCAAGTCCTCGGGCTGGCACCGAGAAAGGCGAGTTTCGGGTTTCTGTTTTTTTCCTATATGGGTGCTCCTTGGTGGAGGCAGGATTAAATAGGCTTGAGTCTAAATTCTAGACCTTGGCCGAGATCTAATATATTTTTATTCGTGTGGACTACGGACAAGGGCAGAGCTGAGGCGAGCGAGCTGGATTCCCATACGGCCAAGGGAAAGAGCCAAAAAGTTTACTGGATGGGAGAAAAAGGAGAAAAGGAGATGTGAGGGGCGAAGATCTAGTGAGGGAAATTAGAATATTTTATAGTAAATACTTCCTCATGCAAAAAAAAGGGGGGGTGGTGGAGGAGGGTGCGGGAATAGGGAGCAAATTGCTCTTCCGTTTCATGCCTGGCCTGTGCGCTTTGCAGGCTACACCGTTAGATCAAAAGAGCCTTTCCTCCCTCATAGGTATTAAAGAATCTTGACTTGGCATAGCCAAGAAGTACCAGATCAGTAACAACATAAAGCGGGTGGGGTGGGTAGAGTATGGAAGACGATTATGGAAAAAGATTTGTAATGGGTGCCCTCCAGAAGTTTTGTATAGAATTAGAAATTAGGTATATCCCTATCTGCCTCCAAATGCCGTGGATCTCCTGCAATTCTTTCTTTCCTGTAGCTCTTGGTTCTAATCCCTGCATCAGCTCTGATTTGAAATGGCGAGGTTAAAAAACAAAAACAAAGAAAGCGAGGATGTGCATTATTAACAAGGAGCTTTATTTCCTGAAGTGTATCTGTATTATTCACCTACCAGAAGCTATTTGCAAACAAAACATTAGAATTCTAAACTTCTGATAAAAATAGTGATTATAATGTGTGGCTTTTGCATTTCCAAGAGATTTTACAAGAAGCTTAAGGATAGAGTTACTCTTTAAACTTTTCCTTTGCTGCTTCTCTGGGGAGTTGAAGTAGTTGAGGCCCTACTATGTGGTTCTCAAGGGTACTATCTAGTTTAGATAATTTAATCACGTTTGAGGACCAAAAATGGAATAGTAATAAAAACAGGGAACCGAGAGAAAGATGAGAAAGCCTGAACAGGTACAAAGGAGAATCACACATGGTACCACATCAGTGTTTCAGTATCTTAAACAAAAATGGAAAAAACTATTTCATAGGATCCATTTATATGTCATATTCACATTCATGCACATGAGATTATTTTTTCTGGTCTAACCTCTGACACATAACCTGGTGTCATAAGAGCAAATATTTAGTGTCTGTTTTTCTTGAAATAGGAGTGTATGATGCAGTGTTTCAGAGCTTGACCAGGAAGCACCTTAGTGGAGTTCATGTGGAAAAAGATGGGTTTTTGTACATTCCCTTGACTGCACACACACACACACACACACACACTTGTTTTTGTAGGAAGCAGTTCAGCTCAGTGGCTAAAAGCTGCGTTTCTAAACTCTTTAACCTGTCTCATACTATACATGTTATATATGGGGGGAAAGTTTCTTTGTTCCTTAGATTCTCCATTTTCAGAACTGTGAATAATTGGTAGTACTTACCCCCTGAAGTGGTTATGAGATTAAATGAAATATTGCATGCAGTCTCATAGGATGGCTGCAGAAATGTCTTTAAGTGTTTATCATGGGATTTGTGGATAGAGTTTACGGAGCAGTGTTAATATTGATTGTGGCAGAAATTAGATTTATTTATATGAGGATAATCAAATTTATGTTTGTAATCTTAACGAGCTGATTTCCATACAACTCATGGTTGTTTTCTGTTTATTAACTTTTTCTTCTCTTTATGCACAAATTGCCAATTGTGCAGAATTGCTTGTGCCAATTGTTCATATTAAAGCCAAGTCATATTATATATTCAGAATTCAGATAATGTTTTCTATTCCATCCTGAATATCTTTTGAGTATTTCTTTTAATTCCCAGTGAAAATGGGTCTATGAAATGTTTATAGTGGACATTCAATAAGCACTTACTTGTCTTAAAGAGGGATGAAAGATTGCATTTGATAGGCTGTAGAAACTAATTTATGTTCACTTTGACCCCATAACTTATGCAGCTGAGGATTGAATGTATTATTTGGCTTAAATTAAAAACCAACAAGAATTTTTTTTTTAGACAGCCATCATTCTGGTGTAACCAAATTCCCTGTTGAGAAACAAATTCTCCAGTTTCAATCCCTTCAGGAAATCTAAAGACAAAATTCCACAGGCCCAAGCTTGCCTTGCATTATTCCTTATGGTCTGTCTTTTCTGTAATTTAAAGAAAAGCTCAGGGTCATGAAAAGGGTGAATGTCTATGCATAATCTGAAACAAAACAGAATAAAAGCAGAGTTTTTTCCTCTTGTGACAACAATGTCAAAAGCATGCTCAAACTAGGCAATATTAATATGTTTATTCTCTGGATGGTGTGGAGAAAAGACTTCAATTGCAGGCCAAACTGCAGTTGTTAATTTGAGAGGTGGGAACATGTGAGATGTGGGTCTGAAGCCCTGGGTGTGTTTGCAGTATTGTCCATGAGGCAATTTCAAGTCTAAAGAAATACTTTATTGGGATGGCCAGGGAGATTCTTAGAATTAAGGTCTTGAAAGTTGAAAGGGACATTAAGGGATCATTTAGTCTAAAGTTTTCATTTTACAGATCAGTTAAATTAAACTTAAAAGATGCTGTCATTCACTTAGTCACACAACCCATTGTCATACAACCCCTTGTCACACCAAGACAAAAACCCCAAGTCTCCATACCCCAACCCTCTGTGTTTTGTTTTGGCTTAATCCATCTGGAGCTAGCCTATTTAACAACAATGGCAACAATGGCTTTGTCTTTATAGACAGAGCAAATTATGTTTCATTTTTTAAAAAAGATTTCATTCATTCATTCATTCATTCATTCACTTAAAGAATGCACATGCAAGAGAGGGCAGGGGCAGAGGGGGAGAGAGAAAGAGAATCTTAAGCAGACTGCATGCTCAGAGCCTGAAGGGGGGCTCAATCGCACGACCCTGAGATCATGACCTGAGCAGAAATCAAGAGTCAGAGACTTAACCGACTGAGCCACCCAGGTGCCCCAAGGCAAATTAAGTTTCAGGATTGAGAAACTAGTTGTAATACATGAAAAAGACTAAGTTTTCTACCAAGCCACCATTGAAAGCACTGGTAAATGTCATTCAATGAATAAATGGATCGATATGAACTTGGGGAGCACTTACTGAAAGTTGGGGTGAAGAGGAAACAACAGGTAGTGCTCATAGAAAATAAAACAACCTCCTTTGTCAAAACGTAAAAGATGGACCTTTAAAATAACATTTATGTAGAATAAAAAAAGGTCTCTTTTTTCATTCTAGCATTTATTTTATTATATTCCCCTTAAAACTCATTTCAAGTTATATGCTATATAAATTATCATCTACTCTTTCCAAAGTGTTCCTTTTTGGACACCTGTAAGAAGACAGAGAAAATGAAGTTTGGATCTATGCAGTCTGTACAAATCCAATTACAAAGTCAGGATCTAGTAAATAAATAGCAATTGACTCTTCGTTGAGAATCTTCAGGATGAAGGACCAATAGTACAAGAGAGAGGTAGAGCTATGTAATATTACATAGAAGTGGTTTCATTCAGAGGACTAAAGTAATTACATGTTATCAAAAGATTATGACCATTTCTGGTGAGGCAGTAAACTCAGGTTAGAATCCAGACCTGGCACCTATTATCTGGTTTTTACAAAAGATCAATTTGTAGGACTCTTTTGATCTTTACAGATAGGTATAAGGTAACAAAATGCTTAGCACATGTTGGGTACTCCAACATAACTATCATCATCATCATCATCATCATCATCATTAATCTCCTAAGTGAATTTTGCGGTATGTGTATAGACTCTTAATGGCAGCTATGAATCAATTCCATGTCTTATTTTGTTTCTCTTACTTTGTCAAGTGTCCATGATATATGGAGATGAGATTTGTGTTTGTTCTCATACCTGCTATTTAGCCTGCTTTCTCTATTTGTAAAAATATGGGTAACAAACAGCTCATCATTTATTGGGGAGTGCTACTGACTTTTATATGACAGATAATGATACAATAGATGATAATATTATTGGGAACTTTATGATGTATTTAACATATGTCACAATATTAGTTCCTTGGGTTCCAAAGAGTATTGTTTGTAGTCCTAATCAAAAAAAACACAGGTGTGGAATGTCTTGCACTCATCAAGTACAGTTAAACTTCATTTGGAAAATTAAGGAGATATATTGTCAACGTAACTCAAGAATTTGCAGAAAGATACAAACAAGACATTTTGGCAGACTTATGAAGAAATACATCTCTATATAACCACATTTTAATGTCTCTGGGAATAACGGGCTCTCCATCAGTGCATTATTACTGCCTGAAATGATACCATTTATAATTTCATTCCTTTCGATTAGACAAATGCCTCTAAGTAGGAAGGCTTATCAAAAACAGATATAAATCATTAGTTACCAGGGTGTGAAGTTATTTTATGGGTTTTTCTAACATGTCAAGAAGCTAGACAAAGCTGTGTTTGTAGAAAATATGGGTCTCTGGACACATAGAAACAAAGAATATACTGAAAAGATAGAGTGTCAAAATGTAAATGTCAGCTTTGTCACAGTTCTGGGAAGGGTTAACCCTTTAAGGTCCATCATTAAAAAGAAAGAATATAATCACAGTACCATGGAAATAAAGGTGCAGTGCTGCCTCCAGGAAGAGGCTGGGTACTTGGACAATCATCAAGGTTTACATAAATATACATGCCATAAATCATAAAATTTCAAAAATGTGTAACTGTTTTTTACCTGTAGTTTACCTGTTTACCTGTAGATGCCTTTTCTTGTAGGAATGTTCAATATAAATCAAAACTGAATAAACTAATTTATACCCTAGAGTGTTATTCAAAGGCAGAGTCTGCTTTCATCACACCTGTTCAGTGCTTTTCCAAAGAGTAATTTTTAAGTAAAAAAATAAAAGAAATCTAAACTCTAAAATGCAGCCCTACCTTGGTTGTTACATAATACTGAATTTTAGGGTCTTCCCACACTATCCAAAAGCCAAGGTGCATTTCAAAAAGTTACTAGAAATAAATGGTCAGGCCGATTGAAACAACACAAACGATAGAATGACTTACAACATTCAGCTTATTCTTACTCACTGTTCAATTTAGTTTCTTTTAGGTATATCTTTGGAATTCCTCCCCTGATCCTTGTTCTGTTGCCAGTAGCATCATCCGATTGTGATATTGAAGGTAAAGACGGCAGAGAGTATCAGCACGTTCTAATGATCAGCATCAATGACTTGGTATGTGCTTGTTTGTTTTCCTCACATTTTAACAGTTTCATATTCAAGTGTCTGTATTCCTTGAAAGAAAGTGAAATAACTAAAGAGCAAAATTTAAAGAGCTACTAGCTACCTATTTTTATAGTTGGCATCATTATATCTTTTTAAAATAATTCTTTAGTAGGCCTTCAGATTCCCACAGCTATCCATTTCCTCTCAGTTTCCTTCACTACCACATTTCTTGTAAGCATAATTTAGCACAACTACCTGCAAATCGTCACTTCCTGAAGACAGTCCCTGTAGAAGCACTGTAATAGAAGAGGGAAAATAACAGAATACAATATCAAAAAACTATCATTAAAAAAAGATGTATGGTTATTTCATCTGAATGTGTGTACATGCATATGCATTATATAGGTATTTTTATACATATGTATATATGTAATTTGCTGTGAATTAATTTTTTAATTTACTATGGACTTTTTTTACAATATAATTTATATCTTAGAGTAGTTTTAAGTTCGCAGAAAGTAGAGAATTACCATATACCCACTCGTCCTCTGTACAGTTTCCCCTATTATTAACATCTTGCATTTGTGTGGTGCATTTGTGTGGTACATTTGTTAAATTGATGAACCAATATTGATACATTATTATTAATTAAGGTCCATAGCTGACATTAGGGTTCAGCTTTTGTGTTGTACAGTTCTATGGGTTTTAGCAAATGTAGGGTCATGTATCCACCATTACAGTATCATACAGAATAGTTTCACTGCCCTTAAAAATCCTTTGTGCTCCGCTTATTTATCCCCCCTCTTCCCCTCCCTTTGAATGCATGGCAACCACCAGTCTGTTTATGGTCTCTATACTTTCGCCTTTCTAGAATGTCATATAGTTGGAATCATGCAGTATATAGCTTTTTTAGACTGGATTCTTTCACTTGGCAATGTATATTTAAGGTTCCTCCATGATTTTTTGTGGCTTAATAGTTCATTTCTTTTATTGCTCAATAAAATTCCATTGAGTGGGTATACCACAGTTTGTTTTTCCGTTCACTGATTGAAGGACATGTCTTGGTTGCTTCCTATTTTTGGCAATTATGAATAAAACTATAAGCATTCGTGTGCAGAGTTCTGTATGGACATACGTTTTCAACTCACTTGGATAAATATCTAGGAGAGTGATCGCTGGATCATATGGTAAGACTATGTTTAGTTTTATATAAAACTATCCAAGTGTCCTCCAAAATGATAGTACCATTTTGCATTTTCACCAGCAATGGATGAGAGTTCCTGATGCCTCACATTCTCACCGGTATTTGGTGTTGTCCATGTTTTGAATTTTAGCCATTCAAATAGGTGTGTCATGGCATCTCGTTGTTGTTTTAATCAACAGTTCCCTAAAGTCATAGGATGTTGAATATCTTTTCGTATACTTTATTGCCATCTGTCTATATTGATCAATGAGGTATCTGAATTCACATCTAAGCTGACATCTTAACAATACTAAGTCTTCCTATAGGGAAATATATTTCCATTTATTTAGATCTTTCTTTGATTTCTTTCTTCAGTTTATATTTTTCCTCATATAGATCCTATTTACATTTTTCCTCATATAGATCCTGTTTACATTTTCTTAGATCTATACCTAGGGTGCTATTGTAAATAGTGTTGTGTTTTGAATTTTAGATTCCAATTGTCCCTTGCAGATATATAGGAAAGCAATTGGCTTTTGTATATTAACCTTGTATCTTGAAACCTTACTATAATTACTTATTAGTTCCAGGAGTTGTTGTTCTTGTTGTTGATCCCTTGGGATTTTCTACACAATTATGTCACCTACAAAAATAATTTTTTTACAATCTAATAGCTGTATCAACATAATGGGATGTGTTGATTTAAAAGATAATCAGTTCTTGAAGTCTTAAAGGGCAAAGGAAAACCCTCTCAAATGTTCATAAGATGGGAGAAATTGTCTAATCTGCCCCCTCCCGCCATTCCACTATCATCTTCTCCACATACTTATACTCAAGTGGCATGACACTTTGGGAAATTCATTGTTCCAACTCTTGAAGGGATATGGGAAATTCAAGATAATATATTTTTTAAAAGATTTTATTTATTTATTCCACAGAGAGAGAGAGTACAAGCAGGGGGAGCGGCAGGGAGAGGGAGAAGCAGGCTCCCACTGAACAGAGAGTCCAACGTGGGGCTCAATCCCAGGACCCTGGGATCATGACTGAGCTGAAGGCAGATGCTTAACCGACTGAGCCACCCAGGCGCCCCAAGATAATATTGAACAGGGACCACAGAGGTCCCTGATTTTGCCCATTGACAAGGAAAAAAGTGTACACTAAATGGCAGTTATCCCACTTCGCATTTCATGAAGTTTTGACAGTTGACATTTGCTGCATTAATTAATGCTACTAAATTAATGTTTTTGAGTCAAGATAATGCTTTTATTTAATTTTATTACCTAGGCAAAGAATCAACTAGTGTTAGTCCTACAACACTTTTAAATAACTATATGTGCATAAAACTGCAAAGAAAATTGCTATTGGAATCCAAAAGGAGAGTTTTGTCTACCAGATTCATAGCACAATTTTTGGAAATGTGGAGTTTATCTCGTTAAAATGCACAACAGCAACAAAAACAACAGCAGCAACAATGATACTGTTAAAACAATACCTGTTGGTGCCTGGGTGGCGCAGTTGGTTAAGAGGCCAACTCTTGGTTTGGCCAAGGTCATGATCACAAGGTTGTGAGAACAAGCCCCGCGTGGGCTCAGCACTCAGTGCAGAGTCTGCTTGACTCTCTCCCTCTCCTTTTCCGTCTCCCCTCTTCCCCACTCTCTCTCTCAAATAAATAAGTAAATCTTACACAAACAGCAACAAAACCCAAAGCAAAACATGGTTACTCTTCTTAAGAGATTAATTCGTAAGACGTGGAAGAGTATATGAACTAATCAATTCACGTGAACCGTGCCATGACAGTCTCAAGAAAGTTGTCTACAAATATGAGGGGATAAATTAGAAGGAAGGAGAAAGAAGTCACCACAGATTATTCATGTCAACATGGCTGGTAGAGAAAATTCAGTCCCCTTATTCGCTCAGTGTGTACCGGAGGCTTTACAGACATTACTGGGTTTGAGTCTCAGGAAGACCATAATAATACTAACATTTATGAAGCGCTAGTTTTGTTCCAGGGACTAGCCAAATACACTTTCACAATATGCCTGTGAGAGAGGTACTCTTACTACTTTTATTTCACAGAGGAAGAAGCTGAGGCTTGTGGCCGGCCAGTTTGTAAGGGGCAGAACCCAGATAGGAGCCTTTGCGGTTAACCAGCACACTCTCCTGCCTCTTGATAGCAATATCGTGTCAGCTTATGCGTGAAACAAGCATCTCTTTGGAGCCTGTTATTATGGAAAACGCTTTCGTGTGGTAAAGTGGTGGGGACTTCAAGGTAGATACCATGATGGACGAGGCGTAGACCCTTCTTTAAAGAAGTTTTCCTTTGGTGGGGCGCCTGGGTGGCTCAGTTGGTTAAGCGACTGCCTTTGGCTCAGGTCATGATCCTGGAGTCCCGGGATCGAGTCCCGCATCGGGCTCCCTGCTCGGCAGGAGTCTGCTTCTCCCTCTCCCACTCCCCCTGCTTGTGTTCCTGCTCTCGCTATCTCTCTCTGTGTCAAAAAAAAAAAAAAAAGAAAAAAAAGAAAAGGAAACTAAATAATGCCCCTTTGTTGTTTACTGCAGGGAAGATATGATGGCATTATAGATGTCCCATAAACATGTGTATGTGAGTTTATATAATTAAGAGAGCATGAGTGTGGGCGCCTGGGTGGCTCAGTTGGTTAAGCGACTGCCTTCGGCTCAGGTCATGATCCTGGAGTCCCAGGATCGAGTCCCGCATCGGGCTCCCTGCTCGGCAGGGAGCCTGCTTCTCCCTCTGACCCTCCCCCCTCTCATGTGCTCTCTCTCATTCTCTCTCGCAAATAAATAAAATCTTTAAAAAAAAAAAAAGTTTTCCTTTGGTGATAGTTTAGTCTTGGTGTGAAGTATGCAAGTTGCAGCTTGAAAAGGAGTGGCTCCGTACTGTCATTCAAAACAAACAGACTGGGTGTGAGCTAGATTTGGGAACAGAAAAATATAAGCTGTGTCCTAGAAGGAGTTGAAGAGATCTGCTTGGCGCTAGGAGAAAGACCACGTTGTGGGATAGCGCACTGATTTCCAGGGAAAATTTTTTGAACCTACACTTCCAATATCCATTTAGCATTTATTTACATATTAGAGCATTTCATAATATTTTTGCATGCATTCATAAAGATATATATAAAACAGAAGAAAATTCACAAAGGATGAGATAAAAACTACATGTAGTTAGAATTTCTAAAATTTTCCTCCCACACTGCAATGAATGGTCCATCGTGACTCCACTTTCAAGACCAGTGATAGAGCGGAAGACATAAGGGGATCTGTATTTTATAGCAAGATTGAGAGGGGTCTTGATGCAATGATACTTAGATTTTATTCCTAGCATAATCGAAAGTCCTTAGTGATTTGATCATAAAAGTAACAGTTAACTAAAATATGAATTTCTGAGCATTTATTATGTGCAATGTAGGCCATTAAAAATTAATAGTCTGTTCTATACTCTATAAGGATGGTGGATACACATGTCACTATAATACAAAATGATAATAGCAGTACATTACAAAAAGTTTCATACACATTATCTTTTTTGAGCTTCACAATACCCCTATGAGGTGATGATAATAATAATAACTAAGACAAAATCAGGGTGTACAATGTGCCAATGCTTCTGTAAGCACTTTCTATGTATTAACTTATATAATTCCTAAAACACCTCTATGTAATGAGGACATTGAGACCTGGACAACATAGCTGGCAAGTGGCAAAACTGGAAATCAAACCCCAGAAAACATGCTCATTATTATGAGGAAAAACAGGGTAAAACTCTGCTATTGTTTTGGCTATTTCAGGTCCCTTGCAATTTCATATG